GCAGCTAGAATGAGCAGTTCATAACAAAATGATCTCAGAAACAGTTCATAGCAAGCGAATTTTAAAATAGAACAATAAAGAGAAAGAGAAGAGAAACACCTGACCTTTTAAGCTTGTGCGGAGGTTCGTCCGAACCCCCCAAGTCCCCCCAGCCTACGGGCCTGCTGTCATTGCTGCAGTTGTTTTATGTTAAGGTAAATCGCACACAACCCCTCGCACACCGCTGGTACAACGAATCCTAAACACACGCATTGAGGGCATCAGGGCCTATATCAASTTGTTATAACCAGACAATGCATCATTTACACACCAAATACTCTTTATCAATTCTTTTTGTTTATTTTCTTGATTCMTTCATTAACAGTCCCTTTGATTACGATTACAACACTGTTCGCAGCTGTCAAGTCGTAACGACCGGCCTTGTTAACCATAATCCTTTTGTTCTAAGTTGTCTCTTAAACAGAGAAATTATAACTTTTCTAAAAACTTTACATATGTAATTTTACATTTATCATCACAGAAACTTTAATTATAAAGTCATCGTATAATTTATCTTTGACATTGGAAAACTAGCTTTATATATTCATCCTCAAGTCCGTATAAATATATATATAGATTGATTTCTATTTTAAATAATTTTAATGGTCTGTATGTACATACATTTTGTGTTTAATAATAGACTTGGTCAGTCTTAGCCTCGAGCAGGCTTTTAAATGGCATATTGTCTCTTATTTTCTCCTGTTCTCTCTGTTTTCCATTCTGTTGTGTGTTGTCTTTATCTGTATAGTAGGAGTGGTGGATGCGAATGTGCGTCCTTAAGTTGCTTGAGCTGATGAACTTCCAGTTGCAAATACTGCACTTGTACGGTTTCTCTCCCGTGTGTGTCAAGATGTGAGACTGTAGATTACCAGACGTTGTGAAGGCTTTTGAGCACTGTTTGCATTTGTATGGTCGCTCTCCTGTATGTATTCTTACATGCCGTCTGAGATCGCTTGAGCTTACAAACGCTTTAGGGCAATACGTACACTTGTGTGGCTTCTCGCCAGTGTGCGTCAATATATGCCTTTGTAGATTTGTCAACTGAGCGAATCCACGGCAGCAGATATTGCAGGTGTAGGGCTTCTCTCCTGTGTGAATTCTGTTGTGAATTTTGAGATGTGCTGCCAATGCAAAGGCTTTTGGGCATTTTTGACACTTGTAGGGTTTCTGACCAGTATGAATCAAGACATGACGCTGGAAGTTCCATGAACGAGTGAAGACTTTGCTGCAATGTTGGCATGTGTATGGCTTCTCGCYGTTTGTCTCAATCTCTTTCTCTTCTTTTGGCGATTCGAGATCGTTTGATACTCGCTTTGTAGGTTTTGGCAGCCATGAGTGGTCTATTGAGTCCATGGGAGGCTGTGGAACGACGACCATGGCAGGGACTGGGTCTTTCATTCTAATAGGTTCGATTCGTTCAGGGCTTGGCACGAGGAATTTAACTGCGTAGCCACTGTTTACCATGTCTTCTATAGTGGGAGGTGTATGCTCAACCATTTCTACAAAAAAAACACGAGAAATTAGCCGTTAAAATCATTARAATAAGATTGAATAATACCTTTTGTAAATAGCTTAGCTGTCTGAAGACTAAATATATCAACGGGGAGACCAACGGAGATGTGGTTTTAGGTTTAACAGACTTAACCGCAAAGACTGGCGCTTCAAAGAAATCAACACTAAAAACCTCAAAAACATGCTGAAGTCACATTGAAAAAGCACGCTCTACACTCAGCTGTCTTTACTGTATTGATAGAGAATAGGGCCTGGTTTAGATATTGTTCAAATCTAAAGTGACTGGTCTCACCCGTTTTGCCTTTGTTATAGAATGTATAAATTTACTCGGTAATAAGAAATTCTGCTAATTATAGACTCAAACACGGCTTATCCATTTAAAGTACTATCGAATCAATACTGCTTTATGTATAAGTAAAAAATCTTAGCRAAAGGTTTCGTTTTTATTAAGTACGTTTCGTTCAAAGAGTCGATCAATAATTCATAGCGCTAAATACCTGAATATGGCAATCATGGTTTAACTACCTTTTGTTTGTGAAGTCTGATTCCTTTATTTCCTATTCTTTTGCCATTTGGGAAAGTCTTAACACGAATTATTTCATTTTGGCCCACTTAATTTAAGTATTTGAACTTAAAAGACAAGAAAACCTTACAATCCAACTTTTTCGGCAGGAAAACCGCAATCAATGACTTTGAAACACTCAAAGTAGGGTACAATTATGGCCGCCTTACTGTGATTTTACATCAACGTGTGTTAAAAGTCTATTTGATTAAATACAAGTTTCAACTAAATCAAAAATAGAAAATGTGAACTGAGCTGTAAGTTGATGAATAATTGACGATTATGAACGTAGCAAGTTGTTGTCAATGCTGTAACTTTGTGTACTCCAGAAGAAAACTCCGAAATAGTGCGAATAGTTGCATCAAACGTATATTAGAACGGACCGATTTGTAAGTTAATTTTGATTTTTCAWATAATTGGTGTGTTTCCAAATAATTTTAAAGAATACTGTTTAAACAGTTAGTCCTAAGTAATCTTAAATGACCTATCAAATCAATTTATCTTACTTCAACCATGAACCAGTGCTMTTTATGGGATGAAAAGCAGCCCTAAACTTAGTTTAACAGTAGGAATTATCTTTATGAGTGCTATAACAGACATTAATTTTTGTTAAACTGTTTATCTGATAGCTACTTGCTTGAGTTGCAAATTTTAAACTCCTGGCAATTACTAGAACTATGAACTTGTCAAAAAAACTACACCAAAAACGTCTTCCGCAAAAAAGAATCTTACGAAAAGTTCCTTAAAAATGAGCTTGGGCAAACCAAGAATAAAGATGATTTCTTCTCATTCAAAGGAGAAAAACACAGTCTTGATAATAAAGTCCTAAATATCCCCCAACTGATAAAATAGCAACTGTAGAGAAAAATACTAAAAGGATCACTTACCAAATGAGTTGTAACATGGCTTCTTAAATTCCTTCTTCTTGATGAGGAAAGAACGAGGCATTTTAGTTGTTGAAGTGAGTTGCGTATTGTAAGTATGACCAACGTAAAGCCCGTCTGTGCTGAGCTACCTTGTCTAATCGACTGAAAGAGCAGGCATGCAGGTAGGTCTTATACCAAACTCAATGACAGGTGCGATGAGCAGGACGAACATTAAACAATTACTCCACTTGCTAATCCGAGTTTTAGCACAGCTAGTGCCTGGCTGAATGGAGGTTGATCACTGCCAAACAAAGGCTTAACACGGTTTTCTATTGAATCTAACACTAATATAACATACTTATTCTAACTGCTAATTTATTAACGACCTCAGATGGGCTGAGTACAGGTTACATCTATAGATTTGACTTACAATACCGGACGCTATTTGAAGGCTCCTATTGGAGAACACCTCATTGCGCATGCATGGTTAAATAGTTTGTTCAAAGACTGTTCAGTGCTAGTGGCAAGCCTTATTGTCCAATCAGAAACCCTCGTCATAAATAGCTTTCGAATGAAAAAAGGGCTAAGATGATTGGTCGAATATCTGTAAATTTCTACATCTTTATTTTAAACAGTCCGTGTCTCACGGGTAGCTTGGTTAATAGCTTTTTAAAGACATCCATTGCTTTGGGAAAATTCTTGGAGAGTTTTTGATTTGATTTAAACCTATTATTCGTCAGAAAATGTAGAGAATGATTCATATGATGGACAAAGGTTAACAAGCCATGCTTGCTGAATTATTGATTCACAGGGCAAAGATTGTTTTCCTGACAACTTCGAAAGCAAAACATACGATTCGAATTCATTTTTTCTTCAATAGCATGAAATTCCTTGAGATTTTGACAGTGTTAGATAATAGGCTCGCTTATTTATTTGCGATTTTTGAGCTATTGTACTAAATTAGCCTATACACTAGTTAACTTCAAAGCTAACTTAAGGACAGTAACTAGCGAAAAGGCGACAAACCCTTTGTTCTAGATACCCAATTACGAAGCTGAAATCATATCGCTATTGTTTAAAGCCCACTATTTGGCCATAGCAACGGTGTTTCTTTGTGATCTCGCTGCCGTTTAGGCCACCAGCCAACTGCACTTGTTAGTGGAAAAAGGCACGTGCATTAGATCTAAACAGGTGGACGCGATTCACGTAATGACACTTCTCAATTTACCTCGTTATACCTAAATCCTTCAGTACATCTTGTCGACAAGCCGTGTTGCCGTCTACTTTTCGACATTAGAGCGTTTTTCTTCGGTACGATTTTTTTCAGAGTTTGGCGACCACAGTGCCGTGGCATTCAAAGCCTCTAAAGAAAAGTGAAATTCCTTATCCCCAGTAACCGGCTGATAAGGGTTATTCAGCGTGTATCGAGGGGAATAATAGTCGAATTGCATCAGTGAATTAAACTCGTATTGTGTCCATTGTTGTTATTTCCGTTGTAAAACAGTTCCTTTCGAAAAAGAAAGTTGTTCAGCTGTCGACTTAAGTCGTTAACWACCGTGTATGATATTCAAACGTTAAACTTTRCTATTAAYATTGCGCTTCTTTGGAAAATCTACCCCGTGTCGTAGGTATTGTTCACTTTAAAGTTTCCATCCGTATGCGCCTTTTTAATCCTTTTCGCTTTTGTTGCTATCATTTTGAGAGGCAGGTACCATGAGAGGAACTAGCCCATGGAAATCCTTCGAGAAATTTTAATTCATTTTTCAAAAAAGGTATCTCATTACAAGCGATTTGTCCTTTGTAAAAGACAGATTATCGAAGTTTGATAGACATKCAGTCTTTGGATGCTTTTAAAACCAGTTCAAAGTCTGTAGGTTCAGTGATCAGCTATACCCAATTAATTATAAATCATCGACATCTAAATATTGTTTTTGGTCAAAAATCAGATATTTGAAAATTGAGATTTCACAATTTTTGGTGAAAGCAAAGCGCAAAATTAGTAGGGACAATAGATTATTCAGTAACCTAGAACAATAGGTTTGGTTATTCTCATTCTCTTGAACTTTTCTGCCTTTGTAAAGCTCTATTCAAGGCTATTCARAGAGAGTCTATGGTTTAAATTGGTATGTGCAATCATCTACAGATTTCGCGTTCAGATTTCTCCCKGCTTAAGCAACATTTTCTATGACAAAAGTCTTTCTCAATCATTATAAGTGAGGGATATTAGTATTTGTTTCTGRTAGAAGTATTGTTAGCATGCCAGTTGCAAAAAGAAGCCCTGTTATGTCATAGTGCAAAAATGATTGCTCGATCGTTATCTATAGCATCGTTTCATTGCRAAAATCCTAATTGATTGCATATAATGGTATTTCATCGCTATTGTTAGCCGTTGGCCGTTTTACAACCATTATATACAGAAAGTATCTATCTCTTGTATATAACTACTATAAATGGACGAATATTTCATATTTAGCTAAACATAATTGAGATGTTTCAATGATGACCCAACARCAAAGTACAGAAATGATTAATGAGATATGGAGTTTTAAACAAGGAAAGAGAATGAAAATAGACTCGTTGGWGTTTRAACAGGCTACCAGTRGCAAATGTCCATCTATGCCTAAACATGTAGGYCATACRCGTCGAGGGGATCTTCATTTCCTTCACATTCCCATGGGACTTTCCCAATTTCATCTTCCCAGGGCGGGTGCCTTCATTGGAACTGATATTCTGTTTTATTCAAAACAGCAGGGTGTCCCAATACCAACTCTTAAACACAGAACCAAGCAAACTTCGAATGACAAATTATAGACATTTGATTAAACGTTCTGGAATTAAAAGTGGACATTCGAATAAGCGCGCAATTCAGATAGTTTCTTTTTCGATTGATGCCTTACGATACTCATTGAGAATCACTTAGGCGGACAAAAAGATTAGTTAGAAATGTAGCATTGAGGATACTAGGGCTGGCCAGCAGGCCTGAGAGCCATCTACTGGTACCGGCCTTTAGGCATGTGGAATTCTCAATAGCGCACCAGCGGAACGACGTCTATTGTTCTTGACAAGCCATACTAGCGAAGCTTAGATCGTTATTCAACGGAACTTTATTATATTACTAAACCTTTACACRMTCTCAMTGCATAAAACTTGGACAATCAGATATCTTTACGAGAAATAAGCAATACTGATCACAAGATTAATAGAATAWAGCACTATATAAAAATATTATAGAGGTTTAAAGTTCTATAGTGATTGCGGATTCATTTCAGTCTTTAAATATTGTTTAATGATATGTTCATGTCTTTAAGGAATATTCCTGATACAAACGATCTTGTATAAAAATAGCCTTTCAATGCGGCCTTGAGGAGTTTTATTRATAACTATAAAGACAAATAAAGCCATACGTTGCCGATGTATAAGGGTCATACAAAGTATCACTCTATTTACTCGCGTTAAACATTTCCACGAGTTCATACAACATTACTATGTATTTAGGCCATATATATATGTATTGACAGTAGAGCTTTGTATTTGACCCACGTACGGCAAATCAATTCATCAAATACAATATYAGCGCTCGTTACTTCTTKGCGAAAATGTTAAAAGCTCGCTTGGAGCGCGCGTTTATTAACGTTGATACAGTGGCATCCAAATAACTAGCCACGCATTATTTGAAAACGGCACCCATCTTATACCTTTCAAATCTAACATAAAGAGCAATTCACTTCTATTGGTATATTCTGATTCATTCATTTACACTCTAAAACTTCAATACTTTGACAGGACTATTAAAATTAGAACAGGGACATTCTGAAGGAGAAATACKGGTGAATTTGTCCGAAAACAAACGAACAAGAAAATCCTACATTAGCACCTAGCTTAATGCATTTCTACTTCAGATAATTACCACCCAATAGTTCTTAAAAACTAATCAAATAAAACCCAAGAGGTCCTTAAAATACCTGTARATACAGACCTAGTGATATTGTTCCTAACTGACCAATCATAGGCCAGCTTTCTCGCACTAGGAAAAAAAGATTCCCTTTGTTGTTACTGCATTATCAAATAATTAGGTAATCGTAAAAGACGGCCGCTATTATCTGTACTTGGATGTGAGTTCTAGCACGAAATTCACCAATATGATACGATTTGGTCGCCGTGTGCTTGAATGCGCGCAGTTTGACCTTCCGTGCCTCATCGTTGTACGATTGACTGTTGTTGAGCTGATTTATATAAAGACGAGAATAGAAAATCTTCACTAGCAAATGCCACTATAATTTAACTGCTTAATTTGAAGTCTAAAGAAATGCTGTTTGATTTAGTTATTTGTTTAATAACCTGAGTAATTTTCTTATAATTAAATTCKCCTTTTAACGCGMAATGCTTTGGAAGTAAAGACGGTACGGCCATTGCGCCCTTTGAGCAGGTTGAGCAGTCTAGGGYKGTTTGTTGTCCACATTACTTTGTCTTTTTGCGATAAATAAATCAAGCGCGCATCCTGAGAACTTATTAACGAAAAATAAGAAATTTTGAAAGAGTAAAAATCTTATTGAATGTATCTTTATTGCAACATAATGCTTATTAAATGACAATCATAAAAATAAAAAAAAAAATCGCTGATTACATTTTACGGAAGCAAATCTTCATTGATTCTCTGTATAATTCTAGCTGATTCTTTCAAAGATTTCTGCTTTCAATACCAGTTATGAGGTTTTCTTTGAAGAATTCAATAAGAAAGCGGCGTCTTTTTGGTTATGTTCATTTTATATTACACTTCAAAAGTCGGGAAAATACAATCACAGCACAAAAGAAATCTTTGGCTTCGGAAACCTAACYAAAAAAGCGCAAACCTGCTATATTAAAAAGAAAAAAAAAGTCCTTGAATTACAGCTTCATTARTAAAAAGAAGTAAAAAAAGCTAGAAATATATCTGTATCTAGTTAATCATCATTTTGCACCAACTTGACCAGGACTGGAGGCAGTGGAATTACGTTTTGCAAAAATTGGTGAATAATAGGACTATGCGTTTCTCCTTCCTGGTTTTAAAAATGCGTCATTATTCCGATCTTATAATGMTTCACAATATACGTGATATTTCTCAATTTTTAATTGAAATTTACAAACATAGCTAAATGTGATTATTTTTTATTTCAATTGTCACGGAACTGCAACTACACTCTTTTTTTTTTCAGTATGAGTCCTGTTGCATTAAAAAATTTATTTTTTCACGACTACAGAAAACCTTATCGAGAAACTCACATGATGTGATTRCTCACTCTAACTTTAACTTATCTCGAGAACAAGGGAGCGGTTAAAACTATAAGTGCAGTTCAGGGTTCACGTTAGGGGTCCTTATTTGTGATTTTAGATCGATTCTCTTCGTTACCTAGAGACTTTTCCCTTGGATACACAAGCTATCCGAATGCCGAGTCTTGTGTTAGCCTAAAATTCAATGGCCGTCACTTCGATACAATGAAAAAATACAATGTGTGGCCAATAGAATTGACTAGTATATGTGCTATGATATCTCTATAAATTAAATAAAGTCTACGGTCTTTCGGCGGTAATTTAACAAACTTAATAAGCTAGCAAAAAATGCACAATTTAAATATTTAAAGTCCTCGACTTCTTCAAATGCCTGACTTGGCAGTGATCGAGATATCAAGAATAATCTAGATTACTTCAAAACCGGCGCGCGGGTTATGTTCAGTATTCAATCAATTCCCAAACCCTTCTAGCAAATCTTTCTAGTCTTGATATATGAGATACTTGTGTTTCTATATATATTTTCATACCATTTAAAATGATATGGAGCTGGTATAGAAACATACGGTTATCGGTGATAATGAAAGAAGAGCAATTAGTAAAGAGCAGAGTCACCAGTAACATTGAACAATTTGCGCACCAAACCATCTAATTGTAAACSTACAGGTATACAGAGCCCGTTCTACCATGTGCATCTTCTATAATAACATATACAGTTTTCTAACCACGTTTAAAAACAAATCTAACAAAGCTCTTTCTTGACAAAAAGAAGAAAAAAACAAAGTTTTTCTAAAGKTTTTTTCATCAAATATGGAATATAAAATATTAAAACTTTTAATTAACTTTAAACGCAYTGAGTTAGAAAAGGTAAAATTTACTCCTGAAGACATCCTTAGCAACAAATTGACTGTGACAGACTAACTCTGATTGTGATTTGTAAAATGACTAGCTGTCAGTAATCTAATGCCCGCAAACTATACTGATTACAGTCCGTCCGTGACAGCGTCAATCAAAGCTCGGTGTTCATCAGTGATTGCGATGCATACCTCGCGTCCTAAGGCAGTATAAAAATTCCAAATTGCTTTTTTAAACTTGATAGAATCAGTTACAACTAGAAGGCTCTACCGACATCGGCTCTACCTAGAAAGAATTCAAATCATTCTCCCATTTTACCATGGCCAAGAGCAGCGGAATTCTGCCTCTTCGGCGTAGAAAACTCACAAAGAAAAGTAGAGAACAAAGGCCAATATCAAACCTCTTGTATCGCAAATTTKACTTGTTTTAACAAAATCGCATGAATATTTTTAAGACTATTTTCCTTAAATTGGGAAAAACCTTTCAAGAGCTTTTGATGCCATATACAGGTGCACATAGAGTCAAAAACAGAGAAAAATTGAAAAGCGAGAATAAAAAGAGATTTCAGTTTTTTTTCTTATAAATGTATGAATAGAAAATATTCTGGATATTTTGTACACACGAAACTCGGCAAATGAGACAAAAATTGMAATTTTTCCTATGCAAAAAGGTTTTAAAAATTGAAAACTTAATACAGGTCACAAATATCACGATTGTAATAGGAAACGAGTCAGTTTTTTAAACTAAATCCCACGTTAACAAGGATGAGAGGACTAAAAGCTGTACCAAACAAAGAAAGAAAGAAACACTGAAAGCCGGAAATACAACGGAAACCATTATTTTACGTGAAGGCGCGCCCTCGAAACCAACGGACAGCAAGTACCAGCGAGCAGTCTACGCAAGACACTCAAGATGGAGGGCAGACATGCAACGGAAACAATYGTTATACGCGAGAAGTTCGCCCCCGGAATCAACTGGTTGGCTTGTGTCATGAAGCCTAGAGGCAACATGCCCTTTACGCTATACACACCATGTATGCAACGCAAGCTGGACACGAATCCGATTGCGGAAATGAAACGTAACAATACATTTGCGTCATCAGGATCTACTGTTGACTTTTGCCTTCAATTAAGACCTCTCGCGCGTTTTGGTCTCGTTCGTTGCCATTCATAACGTGGAGCGCAAGCTGCTCAAGATGTAAATTTAACGAAAGCAATCGTTTTGCGTGGGCAGTTCACCCCCGGAATCTACTGGTTGGCTTGTGCCAGCMTAAAGGCAACATGCAGCTGGACAAGAAGCAGAGGGCGGAAATTAACGAAACAATAAATATGCGTCATATGAATCTTATGTTAGGATCCAAATCTATATCTCTTCGATATAGATCTCTCTCAACGCTTTGGTCTGTTTTTAAGATTTTATCAAATGTAGGAACAATATTGAATATGCTATGAAAATGCCGATTGGTGTGGACCTCATGTTSTATAGACCTTAAAGAATAGAATATATTATAGAATCTTTAAACCCCAACACGGCGAACAACAACAATATGGGCCCATGCAGTGTGGTTATCGTCACTCAAAAAAAATTGCACACAAATCTACACGGAATACTAAGGTAGAGACAAAGACGTAGAAGATAGCATCAGGGAGTATGCTTACAAGCATCAATTCTGATAACGTCCACAAATATATCTTGTTCCTTTTATGTAGTGAATTACATATCTTACACACAAATCTMCGCGGCATCGCTAGAGACAAAGACGTTAAAGAGAGCATTAGGAGTATGCTTACAATTACTGATAGCTGATTACATCTTGGTCTATTAACAGCGCATACAGTTACACTAAAATTTCTATTCCCATCACAATGGTGATTTAAAATGCTATAGAATAACTTTAAAGACCTTGAAATAGCCGGGTTTTTTTTATTAYGCAGCGTTTTGTATACRGGGCACTCAGATACGAATGGCATTGTTTCTGTATGACGTCATGGATGCCGAAAGGAAAGTAACCACCCGTCACTATGGCTTTTCTGTAGAAACCTGACTCGATCAACTGGTAAAAACGAGATCCATTACTATAGGCAAATCGAATATACTGACTTCTTATCTTGTAGATATTTCTGATCAATAAAGGCCTGTTGGGAAGAGTTCTGGGCTAGAGTGTGGAAATATAAATGGCAGCGATTATTGATGGAATTGTTCGCCCATCAAAGTCATGTCAATACCTTCGTATGGATAAGAGTTTTTTTGCAGTTTTTAGCAAATCAATCAAACCATCTAACTATTACCCACATTCATCGGTCGTGGATTCTACAATAAGCCATGCMTCAATCTGATTCATGTAAATTACGATAAATAGTTTTAAAAAATGATGAAAATATAAGAGCGTGAATCATTTACATCACTGATAAAGTCTGCTGGAACATGCAGTATATAACGGAATCTAGATTTTGTAAAATCCTTATAAAAACTTGCGTATCACTGCAAGCTAGACTTTGTTTAATAACCACACATAAGGAACAAGTCCACTATCAGAACATCTGATCAAATCATCGAAGAAATGGATGTTTCAATTACTGCAAGGCCACTTGTAGAAAACTATTCATGTATCCACATGGACAAGAAAGAAAATAACCGTGATCGTCAGTAATTAAACGTAAACAAACAAACAATACCTACACAAAAAGCCGTGCAAGAAAACAGGCCACCTATTGGGATTTCGAACGAYTGATCACTACGAAACAACAGATCGCTCTATGGGGGAAATTAACTAATATCAATAGAAGGGTTGATCAAGCTGTGGAATGATAGACCACCTAGCGGAAGGAACGACCACCTGGGAAAAGAATATACCATCGGTCATGAATTCGAAAAATTTGATAACACATGGTATTTGGAACGTTGTAGTGATTCAAAAAGAACGATTGATCTCAATTAGAACGATTGATCAATMAAATAAGAGCCTCGGGCAAAGATGAAATCAATGAACCYCTTCKCATTATGAGAAAAAAAATCTGTTGACTTGAATGTCAGACAACCATCGAATTTATCAATTCTTTAATTTCTTAAATTTTATTATTAATCTGAATTTCTTTTTTAAAACCTTTTTTGACCCGTAATTATTTTTGTAATGATATTTTAAATCTCAAAGATTTAGATATTTTTCCATGACAAGCCATGGGTTCTAGGATTTCTATAAACTCTTCTATTTCATATAAATGTCTACGCTACGCTATTTGTCATCGAAAGAAGTTTTACAAAGATGCTATCCCATAATGTCTAATCTTGTAGAAAACTAGTCGTAATCACGTGGGTTCAATAGTCACGTGACTAAAAGTACTCTCCGTTCGCAGCCGTTATGAGCCTCATAACGTTGACCAGCGGTTAACATATTAAAAATTATGTCCCATTCTAAGGAATCATTAAATTTGCCTGCAAATGTTACGCTATCAGTTTAGATCTATCTGGCTGACTTTTATAAGGATTCCAGGTAACCAAGCTTCGTTAATGAACTAGGTAACCATGCCTTATTGGTACCAGATAGAGCTTATATCGCGCCTCATCGCCACACCTGATAACCACGTCTTGTTGTTGGGTAACCATGCCTTACCGAAGTCAACGTTGCTAGGTTCCAGTTCTTRATYGGTTCCTAGGGTATTTATTTTTCACAAGCAGCGGTCAGTAAATAGTAGGGTGTGCCGGGTGTTGCTACTCGTTTGAAGGTCGTTAAGAAGTTCTTTTTCTGAGAATCATCTAAGTTCTAGAAGACAAGGTGTATATTTTAATGTTGATTTACATTCTACCAATCTCTAAACTCAAAATCAATTATTACCTGATTTCTGTAAAAGTCCACAGCAAAAGCACAAAAATATTTTTTGTCAATTTCTTCTAATTTATTCATTCGACCCAAGATATGTGGAAATCTGAACGCTGAGTTAAAGAATCCTGATCAATATCAACATACGAACCATAACGTAAAGCGATGCATCTAATAGTCTTCTTCACGGTTACGTGCGCCATCTTGAAAGGTAGCCGTGCCTTTATATCGAAGCAAGACAACCGTTTAGCGTGCAATGATAGATAGTGTGGAAGAAGGTTTCTATCATTGCACGCTCAACGGTCGTCTCGCTTCGATGTAAAGGCACGGCTACCTTTCAAGATGGCGCAGGGAACCGTGAAGAAGGCTATTCTATTCATATAGTAAAGCCTTTGTTTTGTTATTAGTATCAAGGATACAAAGCTCTTATCCATCTGCTTGTTGAAGCACTWATGAAAAAACATGACAGACTCCATACAGCCATGGACAGCGGCGTTCTAATGATATTAATCAATAATTAATTATTTATAAATCGATGATCAATTAATCAAAGTGATGCTAATTATAATGGATGCAATAGCCATTAGTGGAAACAGATTGTTTCCGAGATGATAGTGAGTTTTCAAAACTAACGCAAGAAACGAGTATTCCTGAAGATACCTCGTTTCAATGCGCGCGCCTGCGATATTTCTTAACAGCGCATGTACATCTTGGAAATCGTATACTGATCAAATACTAAAATCTCCATAAGAACCTTTGCACGAAGCTACCAAGTGARAGAACGACCCAGTCACTGACTTCTGACTGTTGCCCTTGACTATGAAGTCCTTCAAACACCTAAAAACAAAGTAGTTTGTGAAATTTTGCACTTAAATAATAACTCAATAAACATTTGGATGCTAAGTGTTAACTCCCACTGTTAATACAAATGAATTATTTTTTACCTTGAACAAGACTTCAGCCATGAGTTCAGGGTGGGGCTGTTGACTGGATAAAAACTCTCCAATCACTTTATTCATAATTTCTTGTGAAGGGAAAAAATCGAGGAGTAGCCGAGGTAGAACTCGTGAAACGATTTGAGCCTCGGAGGGAAATCCCTTCCGTATCCTAGAAACACAAAWTCACTCAATACGAGATCCAGTGCTAMCATATTGCTGTACAGAACAAAGAGTATCATTTTTCCAYTTATGAAATATCTAAAACACGACCGCATTGAATGCTGGTCGATCATGACTCTTTAATTACCTGTCGAAGAGGACAGTAACCCTTTCCATAGCGATTAGCAATCGATCTTCAKTTGGAAACTCAGTCGTATCAGGCTGAGGGTAAATACCACTGGGTCTGTCACCAATTTTRCCTAAAAAAACATTTGATTTATTACCAATATCGTTAACTTTTTAATGTTGGACTGGGATTCCTGTGTCAACTTACCTGTGTACATACATGTGATKAGTAGGCCTAGGGCCGAGATGGATCGCTGGGGATTTTGCATGGATAATCTATATAATAAGAAATAACATTACTGTCTAATTATAAGTGACTGTAAACACAGGTTTTCCTACCTATCAGCACTGAGTTTGACTAAWGAATCACTCTCAGTTGACGACAAAGCAAATGAMACTACAAGTCGTTCCAGGCCTCTCATGATRGCATGATACACGGCCAGCGGCGTGCTCTCTTCATTGGATGAAGCAAGACGTACTGCAACCTGTAGACACAGGAAACCCAACAATTAGACGATAAAAATGTAAGAAATATTAAAGTTGACACAATATGATTAAGATAGAGACTTTTAAGGTGTATTTACAAATAGTCACAAATAAAAATAATGGAAATTGGCAGCAATATAAGTCTTAAATATATCAATTTTAAGTGCATACTTTGAGGACGTTGGGTTTGAAGTCTGCATCGGAGATTTCATCATTGTAATGTTCAATTAGATAGAAAACTGCTGACCACATCACCAGGAGATGCTGTTGYGCAAACATGACAGCACTGAAAAATATGACGCTTCAGTTAAAAACCACACTCCACTGTAAAGAACTATTGCAAAACACATCGATGTATCTTTTTCTTTCTGTACCAATGATCTACATAGTCCATAGTCACTCTCACTATAGTTTGTAGAGGGAAATAGTTAGGAAGCCTTTTTTTGTAGGTTTTTGTGACAGTGCAAATTTTTTAWTTAACATTTTAACCAATATTGAAATATTTCATTCATTATCTCATAGAGGGTGTTTAGGTTTACGAGTCATTTCWCAAATTCGATCGTCCGTAAGAAAAAAGTTGTGCACGGTCTTGACTGATGCAACCTCAAAATACATACAAAAGATGTACAACAAAAGGTTTCCAAACCATTCCCCTCTATTAACTATGCTCTCACACACTGTCTAAACACTGAATGCTTCATAAAACGATACTGGATGACAGATATCCTTACTTTTGAAGTGAATTAAGTCGTTTTGAAAGGTGCTCCGTCAGAGTTGGAATCAAAATAGCAGCAACAGAAGGAACATGAGACTCCAAGATATACATAGCACCATATAAACCAGACATCTGTAAAACATAATTATTTAGCAAAAATTTGTTGTTGATTTTACAAGAAGGTTGTAAATTTGTAACACAACGTAGTTAAGACATTCTTATTGCAGCTTCTATTACCTGAAGTGGGATGTGTGGACTTTTTAATGACGTTTCGATTATTTTACAAACTTTCTCTGCAGTTTGCCCTTCCTAGAAAAGAGACTCAGTTTTAGCAGAGTGATRACGCCACATAAAAACGATAATATAGTCTGAAACACAATGCATGCTGGGGTACTATTGTTCCCTCCTSTGCAGTGTTAGGGAACCATTTTATGAGTACTTTTAAAACTTATTTCTGTATAATGTTAAAACTTATGCGTTTAACTTTATTTTGTAATGTGTAAAGTGTAAGCAGTATGTCTTCACTTCCATTCATACAAAAGTACAACACCTCTGAAGAAGATACAATCTCGTACCCAGAGCCCGCACTTTTGCCATCCTGCGGACGTTAATTCTTGAGAGAGTGCATGTCTTTCCGGCGTCAGCATACCTCTGATATTAGCCGTGAAGACTSTGGGCTYGAGATGGAARAAGATATCAAATTGTGGTCAACTTACCATCTTTAAGAAAGCCAAAGCCTTACAAATTACTGGTAACGAGTACTGTGTAAGAAGATCGTCTTCTGTTGGGTGATTTTGGTAAAGATCAAGCAAGGTGTTCAAAACCCACTCAAARTGATGRCCRTCAATAAACAAATCCGAAAACACCACCAACTGAAAATCACAAAAATTAATTWCTACTTAGAAATCTAATACRCAYTGCAGAAACTCTAGAAACTTTTGGTAAACAGACTGTRTGSTTTGYTTCTGCTGAATGCTACCATCTTACCGCTTTTGTAGCCTCTGACAAGAGCATGAGAGGAGTTTTAGGTTGGACATAAGGTGACATCCACTGCTCAAAGAGTTCAAGYAAGAACTGRAGACATGAGCGTATGTCAAGTTTCTCGGGTTTTGGCATCCGAGGCATTGAAATGACAACTGCAGCATCGTCTTCRCTGTCTGGATATTCTTGTAATTGAGCCTGTGCTTGACTATGAAGACCATTTATAGAAAGCTAAAAATATGAGAAATAACATCAAGAATATCATCTAGGGTACCTGGAGATTTAATTAGTGTAATTTCATACAGTGTTTAATATAACTCTTATATAGCTCTAGAATGGACACCGGAAGGACGAAGAGCAAGGGGAAGACCAAAGACTACTTGGAGAAGAACGGTACTGAAAGAAAAGGGACAATGTAGGATGGAAGACTTGTAATGAAGCCAAAATGGCAGCAAGAGACAGAGTTGGCTGGAAAGAGGGGGTGAAGGCCTTATGCGCCTACTGGCACGAGGAGCTATGACGATGTTTCATATAGCGAAATAATGTCATCTTACCTGTCCAAAAGTGTATTCATGAAAGCCAAGAATTCTATCTATGTTGAGACCATACAGGGGATTATCAAAGATTAGTTTGTTACTAGTCCATGTKGATGTGTTGCCATGACTTGTGATGAAACTGTTAGAGCGACGAAAACTTGCTGACTGCTCGTGTCTGATGTCCTCACGTGTTAAATACGATCTTCCGGCTCTATTGCAGCAAAACATTAAGATAGAATCATTGATAGACAATGCTGAGTCATTTTTTACTTCAAAATGAAGTTACAATTCTGTTATAATAGTTGTTAGACTGGAGCAGATTTTATGACTGTTCAAAGATAAGGATTCACCAAAACTGATATTGGTGCCAAAAGAACATTGAATCAAGAAAATCTTATAGCACAACACGGTCATGTCATACAAGTATTGTTCTGCATCAAGATCAGTATACTTATGATGTTTCCCCTATAACTTACCCAATGCAACAAGTGTTGACAAATTCTTCTTCTACCAAACCTCTGACCACAGACAACTTCTTTCCAGCTCTGAAAAGACAAACGTACCATAACWCCATACAACATAGTTCTAACTAACCTTATCTGGACAAAAATTACTTACAACATTACTGAAAAATGTCTATTGAACGCTTATTACAAAAAGTCCTCTTATTCTTCTTAATAATGTGTATTAGATTCTTGTCTTAACGTTTTTAATTTCATAACACTATCTAATATATTTTCATCCTTGTACATAATAATAAAAATTCTTGTCTTACTCAGTCAAMTACGCATTGAAAAGTGACAATTTAATAGTCTCTAGTTACCTGCTACCAAGGAAAGGTAAGTCTCGRTGCCTGGGACTGTGTAGGTAGCCACTGGCCGAGCAGTTCCCAGGGTATGGGTACAAAGTTGTTTGGAGAAGAAGTGACGCTATACAGCGGACAGCCAAACAGCATGAATGAGATGCTTCCATATCCTCCTATGAACAACATATTAAAACAGATTCCCATTCAATGTCTTCCATTTATTAATCCCATTTACTTATTCATTCATTCAATTATTCGATTTTTCGTTAAATTGATCTTTTATTCATTTTTTCATCTGTTCATTACGTTATTAATAATCATCCGTTCATAAATTTATCATTTTGTCAACTTATTCATTTATTTGTTTGTTCATTTCTTCAATAATTCATTTATACTAATTCTTAATCATTTGTTTAATCCTTTTGTTCATTTATTTGCTGCAATTTATACATGGGACACAGCTGTGACCATACCTCTGGAGTGACATTTTCAGGAAGTGGTGGAGAACTCAGTACACCAAGTAAAGCAGCCCAGGTCTCTTCAAACTGCTGACGATTGATCCAACCTAAACGTACAAGACATTTTATCAAGGAAAACACGACCAATTAATGAGAATGCGTACTCAATACACAAATACACAAGATGAATTAATTGCATCATTGAAAAGATGAGTCAAAACATATTTCCTTCTGTAAAAGGATAGCTATTTTAGCCTAAAATATCCGGGTTCTTCACCATCTACTGATACAATCATTGTTCATCATTATCATCATAGTTATCCAATGAATATTAAACTTACCTAGAATGTTCACTCTCATAACAAACTCATTGAGAACATCTTTCTCTTTTAGTATCTCTATCGGCAATGGAGGCAATTCAGTTTTCAGTGGCCCTTCAGGTGTTGGCATCCATCCCAGTTTCCAAACAATAGGTGGTGTACGAGCATAACTATTGACCAGTGGACGCCTTGCTAGGCCTAAGAAAGTCAATCTAAAGGGCTCGTAAAGAAACTGAGGGAGGACTGAGCAGGAGTGGGACCCAGGCCTCAGGTATGTGTATGTATAGCTGATGAGATCTGATATCTGGTCACACGCCACTGTGATTGATTGAAATTCTGCGAGGAAAAAAAAGCGCATAAAACTTTGATTTTCACTTATTTTGTAGCCTTTCCCTCCATTCTTTTGTATAATTATTTATTGTTTCGTTTTTCTCTAGAGTAAGTCTCCAGCTTACCATCTTCACGCTCAGAAGCTTGTTGTGAACTATTTTCATTGCTTTCATGTACCAGCTTTTCACAGCCATTGAGAGAGACTGAAATCAAAATATATTTTCAATTGAAGTCAATATTTTCAAAGTTTCTGTATATAAATTCATTTAGGATCGATTTGGAATATGCGTTCCTTCCAGAAACTTATCAAATAATTCAAAAAACAATACTTCACCTGCTTTTATTAGAGTATACACTTGATTAATGGCTTGGCAGATTAATGTTACATATTCCACGTTATTTACACTTTGCGTGTAGTCCATCATAAGAAGCTGAAATACAGGTAACTATCTTTGAGCTACAGAATTATATACTACCATTCAAACATCGATGGTAAGTAATTCATTTATCTTGGAAACTGAAATGACAAGGAAATCAAGAATTCTAGTTACCTTGCCAAGACAATTCAAGACTATTTTGAGTTCAAACGTGCTTGGTAGTTCACCTGCCACAAACTTATTGTACAACATCTGTAAAACAATAAATAATGCAGTAAATAATTCAATAAGAGTTGATATTATAATTATAATTAAATAACAGTTGATATTATCTACTCACTGTGAGGGGAAGAAAGATAAATCTACAAAGACAGTTGATTTCTTCTTGTGACAGGTTGCACTGTCTTGGTAGCGATACGACCACAGTGCAGTAAGAGACAATAGCCCTGGCTAAGTCCAGAATACAGTGCTCCTTGTCCTTGTAAAACGCCATGAATTTATCCTTGTTGATCACAAYACGGGTTGAAGTATTACCTTCATCTTGGGCTGAAAAAAATTAATTGATTTAAAGACATATAATTTCATTTATTTAATACAGTTTCATAATCTTTTCACTATCAGCATATTTCATCTACTTAACATTTTGATTAGCAACTACAGTCAACTCTTGCTAGTAATTTAGTGTCCGCAGTAGCGAGAGTCCGCAGTAACAAGAGTTACTTTCAGTCATTCTTTGTATTTTTCACCATGGATTCAGTATTTTACTGTCCACAATATCGAGGTGTTTGTTGTAGCGGGATGTCCATAAGGCGAGAGTTGACTGTACAAACTTAATTACCATGGTTACATGTATTAGTTACTATAAACAGTTGCAACTATCAATGCCACCTTAAATGCCATGGTTACCACTTGCCATAGCAACTATCAATATAAACTTGTATCTCAATCACTATGGTGACCAGCTACCATGGCAGCAACTCTTTATGTGTACTATCCCAATTGCCATGGTTACCTTCACAAGGGACTGTTGTCATGACATCATTCACTACWTGATACATATGCCTAAACATGGTTAGTTTAGCTGCCAGCAACAAGTGGTCAACACCAGTACTTTCAAAGTGCTCTGTATTTTCATAAGGCTTGGATACATTTCCCTAGAAGTAAGACAAAAGCTGAGTTTGATGTGTTCAAGCRAAGTTTCTTTGATGGCAAATGACTTGAAGGTACCTCGATACTTAATCTTCGACATGTGAATTGTATGGTACGTTCTACACCATGTAGAATACAATCTTCCAAGAGWGATATGTCAAAGGCCTGTGGAACATGCAGTTTAATGTTAGATATAAATAAAARGCTATGCAGAAAGAATACTAAACAAACAAACACAGATCAATTTGAGGATGAAATGACTGACCTGATCACTCATTATATTACAAACTGCAGTAAAACTCAAAGCACTTAAGAGATGAATCGTTTCTTGACTGTTTCTTGGTTTGAGGGAACTATCTTGTGCACCAGATGCAAAGCAACAATGCGACACAAGCCGTGAATACCATTCCTGTCAAAATATATATAATCAACATAGTTCTATAAACATTGCAACTCAATGTAACTTAATCCACAAGTTGAAATCCTGGGATAAAGCTTTCTAAAGCGAAAGAATTTGTTTTGTCCAAGTGAAGGTTGAAGTCACTCAAGAGTTTGCTTAGATTATGATTTATAAATTACATACCTGGTCTATTGTAGTAGTCATGCTGGACACCAACTGTGCAGAACACRATATATCAGGCTTTGATGATTGTAGTATATGATGAACAAGAGAGTAAAGGCGAGGGTTCCTAAAAAAGAAAACAACATAGCATTGTCACCTCTATACCATCGGTAGGTACACCCCTAAGATATCATCCCTGTACCATTGGTAGGTACACCCCTAAGATATCATCCAAACATATAACATCAAAAACACATAAGTCAATTGGATACACATTCGATCTACCCTAAACACATAACAAATCAATTCGATACACTCAAAACACATTCCATCCACTCTATATACCTACTAGTAACAAGTCAATTCGATAMACATTCGATACACCCTAAATACATAACAAGTCAATTTGACTTGTCACAAGCCTTTGACAATTCAACTAAATAAGCTATAAACCAGCAGAAATCAACTGTGAGGCAGTCTATGTTTTTCTTTTTACATCAGAGAAGAGTTTTTAACCTTTGGATGTGTTTCTTTGATGCCATAAGATTGCAAACTGCAGTCAGTTCTTCTGCAGATGTTTCATTATTTGGGTCCTAAAGAAACATGATTATGATTAAGAAACACGCTTTGATTACATTTTGTCAATAACAAATTTCACAAATTATAGCTACAATAGACTATACAACCTAAMTATCACAGGATAAAATAAATAAAGTGTTTTGAGAAACTTTTGAGATTTTCAAGAAACTGAACTAGTGTAAACTTTTGAAGGATTAAAAGGATGTTWCAGRAGTTTACCTTGAGACGTGAGATCTCCACGTCMAGTCGTTTGCAGATAATRCCCTCCACATGACSAGTKATGGAKCGGCAGTGAGAGTCAAAGAAGAATTCAGCAAGAATCTTCAACAAAAGACATGTTTGCGAGCTGTGAACATTTGAGAGACAACTGACAAGATGCCTTGTGAAGGTAATCTGTAAATAAAACATGGTTGAGTGTCAGCATATCCTTACATGATCATGATGTTATTCAATTTTCAATTAAAACGATGCTGATGATAAAGATGGAATGCTTATGATGATCAAGTTAAGGTGATTTTGAGTTGATTCAATGGCGCCTTACCTCACGTTCTTGTTTCTTTGATTGCAATGTGTAACTTGCGATAAATGTTTCAAGAAGAGTACGGCTACCATCTTCACTTCGGTGAAGAATGCTGTGAAACAGACATCAAGATATGATATACAGTCAAGAACATGGCAATTTATCAAACATGTATTCATATCAAAAAACTCAGTAGATTTAAATTTTTAATGCCTGATTTTGTTGGTTACAAATTCAGATGAGAGTTTGACGTGAGGTTGTTTATYTACCTGAGTAACTTAGCAACTGGTGTTTCATGATCAAGTTCTATCAAATCTTCAAGATAAGACTGCAGTAGTACAGACACCTCTGTCAAGCTGGAACCTGGTTGATCCTGTTTAAACAGGTTTGAATATATTAAAACAATACAAAAGAAAGTCAAACAGGTTAAACTTGATAGTACTTACAGTTTCCTTGGCAACCAAAAGGTCACAGTACAAGAGGATGGCAGCTTGTTTTGTGATCTCTCTGTTGATTGGCTGAATTAAGTCATGTGCTTCTTTTGCATCTTTAAGAAAAAATGGTTTAAATAAGCGTACAAAGACATTAATCATAACAATTACAAGATGCTTACCTTGATGAGCTGGTAAACTGGTTTGGATCAGGTTATACCAGTATGCTGAATTATCATATGAAAGGCATCTAAGAATGTCAGCCCAATGTAARACTATCAGGGGGTGGGTGGGGATGATATTGGCAAGAGATGCATTGATCTTGACTATATATTGGTGTAGTGGTTTGTTGTTGAGTARACAYGATGTTGCCATAGTTACACGTGAGTAGTTTTCTGCAATGAAATTCATATTTATACTGGTATTACTTATATACAATAATAATTATCAATAATTTCTTATCTCAATGATTTCTTACCAGATTTAAACATGTGATTGACAGAAACAGCAAGTCGACAAAACTGTTTRTGAAGAAATATTGAAGACTCCAGTCCATTRATATCTGCAGCATTTGATAACATAACAATACGCTGCACAGTGATGAACATGGCTTGCAATAAAAACATGCTGAATATCTAAATAACAAAAAAATAATAATGACAACATCAGCAACAACAACAACATGCTAAAAGTATTTTTATTGACAGAAACAAGACAGCATTGTCTAACCTTTTCAGGAGTTTCTGCTTGCTGCTCCTGCATTTTTAAATCTTGCTCACAGATTGTGTCATCTTCCAACCTTTGTAACACATCACCTTT